TGGTGGTGGTTAGTTGCCCTCAAGTCGACCCCACGCACAGCAGAACAAAATGTTGCCTAGTACAGAGCCACGCCCACTGGTGGTGGGGGATCAGAGACCATTGTGAACCATCGGGTTCCCACTGGTTGGTTTGAAGAGGATCACCAGACCTTTCTTCCTCATCTCCCTGAGTCTGGAATTTCCACTACAACCTGTTGAACATCACACCAACATGCCAGCCTCCACTGACAGGTGGGCGGTAGCTACACAGGAGGTGCCCTGTCCACGAATCGAAGCCAATCTCATGGAAGGAGAGGATTATACCATTGATGCAGACCTAAACACCAAGTACAAAAACAAGAAGAATGATGTTGGGACTGCCCTAAACGAATGATTAAGAAGCAGAGAAAAGGTCTGGTGTGTGGAAATGCTCCTTTCAGAAAGGATGGTAACACAAAGCACAAAGAAGCAACAGAAGCTGCCAACCACCAAAACGTGTTAGTAAGGTTGGCGCAGGACGACTGGGCAGCATTTCATTCTCTCTTGTGCGTAAGTTCGCTATGCGTTGGTACCAACTCCACGGCACCTAACAACAACAACAACGAGTAAAATCAAAGAACCCTGGTGTGCGCAGTGGATAAGCACTGAACTGCAAGGTTGGTTTGAACAGCAAGGGTAACAGTTCAAACTCACTAGCCGCTTGCTGGAAGCCCTGTACAAGGTCACTATGAGTCAGAACCCACTAGATGGACCTTAACAACAACGAAGGGTAAGCATGAGTTGTCATAAATTGGCCGTCTGTAACCCAGGGAAACCTGGTATTCTTTCATCCTCTCCCCTCTTAGGTCTCAGAAAACAAAGCTAATGCTTTAAAATGATGATGCCCTAAATAGACCTAAACTTTGCACCTTTTTTTTTTTTCACCCAGTACTGTAGAGAGAGAAACACAACTTGTTAACAGCTCAAGTAGAACTCACTTTTCAGGCGAGGCTGAGTGGCCCGCAGACTGCCTCCCCGGCGTGCTCCCGTACACATCCTCCTCGTTTTCATCCACATCTTCATCATCGATGCTTTTCACATCCATCTTCTGGTACCCAAACTCCCCATTCAGAGACAGAGAGTCAATTTTCCAGGAGCTGCTGCTCTGGCTCCCGTTGGAGTTAGGCCCAAAGGGGCTTTCAAAGGTCGACATGATGTTGACTGAGGCGCGGTCAGAGTTATCTTCCGAGCTTCCCCCAGCTCCAGGGATCTTTCTAAACACGTCACCAGAGTTCTGCTCATCTTCTTCATCATCAAACGAGATAATGTTGGTCACCTTCTTTTTCTTCTTCCGCTCCTTTTTACATCTGGCATCTGCAAAAGATCCCGTGTAAGAAAAGATAAAGGAATGAGCAGCCCCTACTGCCTGCAGATTGTAGAAAAACTTCTCTACTGAGAAGTAAGCTATTACATAATTCAACTCTTGCTGTTTTAATCAGTCTATAAAAGTAAGAGCAAAATGGACGTGGGTCTATATTTCTGATTATATATATATATTTGGAGCTCTAGTAGCGTAGTGGTTATGAATCGGGCTGCTAACCTCAGGGTCAGCAGTTCGAAACTACCAGGTGTTCCGTGGGAGAAAGATGAGGCTTTCTGTT